AGTTCACTGAAAAACAGTTTAAGACGACCTGATTTCCAAAAACCATTACTGTGGATATTTTTGTTCCAGGATGGGATTTATAGATGCTTTTTACTTATAAATTAACTGAAATTAACAATAAAGTATACCACACTTATCTTGGGGATTACGTTCCAGACAAACCCTGCGATAGGTGAAAATCCGCAAGTAGGACATTTATTTTAGTATTTATATATATATATTAAGGCTTTATAAACCCTTCCTACACTCTCGCAATGTTCTAAACGCTCTAAAGAGCACAGCGAAAGTGAACAGACACACAAACACAACAGGTTCCGCGCCTGTCTGTTGTGAAAGACAGCCACAGAAAGAGAAAGGAGGGGGAGGGGTCTGGCATTCCGTATTAGACATACCCCACCCCTCCTTTCTATTTTTGAGGCTGTCTATCACAACAGAGCAGAGACACACAACAGGCGGGCGAGCAACCTGTTGCGTGTCTCTGCTCTGCTGTGAAAAACAGCCTCAGAAAGAGAAAGGAGGGGATGGGGTTTGTCTTTACCCATTGGACAGACCCCGCTCCTCCCTTCTCTTTCTGAGGCTGTCTGTCACAGCAGAGCAGAGACACACAACAGGCAGCCAAGCAACCTGTTGTGTGTGTCTGCTCTGCTGTGAAAAACAGCCTCAGAAAGAGAAAGGAGGGGGCGAGGTGGGGTCCGTCTTTCCCAACAGGCCACCGGGAAATGTTCCCGTGCTACCGATGGATAGTCTGCCCCTCAGCACAATGCTCTGCTTGGTCACCTTCCATCGATCAGCCAATCGTGTGTCGTGTATAATCTTACGTTGAAAACTCGCAAAAGAGTGAGTCTGTGAAAGTTGAACTGCCAAGTATCGAGGGACGACTGTAAATTAAATAATTTTGTTGGGTGTGTGTTGCCATATAATCCCATTCATATTCATATTTCTGATGCAGTGCAATGTGACATTAATATAAAATCGCTCCACTTCTTACATGGGTTTGTTTTTTTCACTAGAAAATGCCAAATTAAATTTTCAGACATCCTTTTACACTCAACCCTAACTCATTCTCACTTTTGTCAGGCAGAACAGCCACCTTTGCCCTGCTCGGTTTCTTTCCAGCCTAGCCATAGAACACCATAGAACATTAATGGGTTTGTGCTCTAAACAACCCAGATGTATAAATATTAAAGAAAACAAAAACCCACGTGTCCTTGGATAAGTGGTCAGCCCTGTTGAACCCCAGACCTTGCTGTGAGGCAAGTCTTCGGTGCTTGTGTGGAGTTAGCACGTGTAACCCAGATATATGTTATTAACTTGTTTTTTATGTATATGAATATTTCAGTGCAGTGCCCTGAGATGACTTCTGCTGGCGCTATATAAATAAACTGAATTGAATTAAGCCATGTTTGTGGGAGTTTTCTCCGTCTTCCTCCTACTCCAAAAACGTGCACGTTCAGATTAGATTCTAAATTGTCCCTTAGAAGTGAGTTGAAGTGTCTTTTTTGCCGCTGACCTGACTTGTCCAGGTGTACCCCCCATCAAAGCCCACTGGGATAAGCTTCAGGTCCTCCCACTCTTAATTAAGAAGACACAGCAGATAAATGACTGGATTGATGGATATCTGTCCTGCTATATATCCATTTATCTAATTAGTGCCGATACATTTAATTAGCAACTAATTTTATCTTGTTGAATAAAAATTTCCCGTAGTACAAAAAGTTAATAACTTGTCATGTAATATTTTGAAATGATGCAACTGTAAGAAAAATTGGGAGAATGTGTTGAGCAACTTCTACATGACATCAGTCAGTGTGGTATAGTTTCAGGTTTAAAATCATGTGATGCATCCCAAGCATCTGATTGGTTAGAACTCTGCCCCACCTTCAATGTAAAGGCCAATCAGTAACTTGTTTAAACATTAGGTAAACAGCGCTTCCACATGGCAACATCGTCCAGTCGAGGGTTAAAGCTGAAGACATTAAATATTAGGTATATTTTTATCTTGTCAAATCATTTAGTCACATTTTTATGTCAAACAGTAGTTTGTGCCAATTCAGTTATTAATATTCCTAATTCCTAACGGTATCAGTGAAAAAGTTTCATCTTAAGTTACACTTCTCGTTTTGTGCAGTCTTTGCCAATTCTTCTCTGTGAGATTGTTGGTCTGCCTGAAACCAGAAGCAAAGGTCTAAAACAGGACCCACACCTTGTTACTATTTAAGTAGTCCCAATAACAGGTCAAATCTCACTGAGCAATGGAGACTATTGGTGACTCAAAACAGAAGAAGAAGAAAAAATATATACATTTTCAGTTAAGTCTTTGCTACACTGTTTGAAGCAGCCAGTTTTTGAAAATCACATCTTTTCCCCATTTGTATGGCTTGTAAAAGTGGAAAGACAACGTTTTATTTCCCACCCTGTGTTTCTGGAGCACCCAAATGAAGATGGGCAGTCAGACCTGTGTTTTAACGACCATCATCTGTGTCATATTCAGCCCTGGACAATAGATTTAGATACTTTATGTAAGAGGGGAGCTCAAAATACAGTCTAAGCTCTCAAGATGGGCTGAAGTCAAATCTGTAATTTGTTCCTCCAAGTTCTTGAACATGTTCAAAATCCAGAACCCGTTAGCGTTTTGAGACAATGGACACTATTGTGGATGCAGTTTGTCAATTAGCCTCCAGCGGACACAGTAGGACACCATCTTACTCTGATCATGATGATGTCTGCAATGAATTATAGCTGTTTTCCATTGGCTCGACTCACATGAGTAAAGTCTTTCAATTGGGCGATCCACTTTCATTCGTTTCTTGGTTCCAACTCGGTCGAGGTCACAAGTGAGTCGAGCTAAAGATTTAACGTCGGCAGACTGCAGGATTGTTCCTCGAGCCACGCAATAAGCATTTTAAAAACCACGGCAGTGAATGGCGTTTAGTAACTTTAGTTCACTTATTTGCTCGTTAAATGTAGTGGGACCAACTATGACGATCCGCCCACATCAAGGTGGCACTCAGTTCGATGTAAAACCACCGAGACCGAGTAGAACTGAGTCGGGTTGAATTAGAGCGAAGAGCATCATGTTGAGGCTGGACAATAAAAAACTGCTTTAGGTCTACAGAGCAGTAAAAGTGTCAAACATCTGCATTCAGAAACAGCTGTACTCAGACAATTAGAGGAGTCCTGCATCTTTATTGTTTGTCTTTCTTTGCATCAGAGAAAATCCGTAAATAGCAATGACGCCACATTTTGCTTTTTTTTGCAGATCACACACACAAAAAAAAAACTTCATGGACATTTGTTCTTTTGACAAAAAAGCTGTGAGGAATCTTCATCTTTGGAGCATAGTGTCTGATTTTGTTTAACAAACGTCTTATTGTAGGTACAGACTGTGTCAAAGTAACTTATCACTTCATTTGATGTTAAAGTAAAAACATTTACTTTAAAAAACAAACAAACAAAAAAAAAAAACAGCAGTGTGCATCAGGTACACTATTCCCCAAGAATGTCTCACGATCCTCGTTTCATGAAAAGGTAACAAAAGTTTTTCAATATTTCAGCGTCGCAGAACAAACATGCAGCAAAATGTCACGATTCCACTCATGCTCTGTGAACGAGCCGATGAGTTCATTTCACAGCCGATGGATGTCACACAGTGACAGCATAACTGACGTCTCACACACACACACACACACACACACACACTCAGGTGTGTGTGTGTGTGCTCCAGCAGCTAAAGCCATGTTTGGTAGCTTAGCACGTGAGCTGCAGAACAGCAAATGGAATGTCAGGATGTGGGAGGAAGGGTCGTGTCAAGCACCAGCCACTGGAAACCATCCCCCCGGCCTCGCTGGGCTCAGACTGATGAGCGACTAGAACCTGCAGTGGAATGTTTCAAACAAATGTACTGATAAATAATCATTGTGCTACCGGCAGATCATCCGTTACAATCACATCAGTTTTTCTCAGATTGTCAGAGAGACTTCAATCTTTGATAACGGTGCCCTCACGCTGTTACCAGGAGACGAAGGTCGCTTCTAGTTGGTTAAATACTGATCCTTAGCTGAGTTCAGGCTTGTACAGAACATAAATATTCATAAATGACAGGAGTTTCTGATCAAGATGACTGGTTTGTCAGAATTCACAGTTTGAAATTGTTGATTCTCCCCCAGAAAACACAAAATAACTAACGAGAACGTCCCATCTGGATCATCAAAGCCTTCCAGGAACACAGACTGACAGTTAGGACGTGTAGCTCCTGTGAAGACTTTGACCACCAGCAACTTTTGCCTTTAGTTGAACCTGGAAATCTACAGACACAAAAATAACCTCAGTCAGAAGAGCAGCTGTGCAGTTCGACTCAGCAGCTTTAAGAGCTGTCCGCTTGGTGCCCAGAGGAAACGAGGTGAAGTTTCTTGGGGGCGTAGCAGCGAGTGGGCCCCGCGTCTTTTTGAAGATCGTACGACGGGAAGCTGCGGAGCTGCCCCAGTGGCCGGCGTTTGGCACAGAGGTGTTTGATACACACGGTGATGGATGGCAGGTGGAACGGACACAACAGATGAACGCATCACAGGGTGGATGAGAGCCGAGGACGCAGGGGACACCACGACGACACGCTGACGATGATGATGATGGATAGATGGTGAGGTACTGGGTGTGACAGCTGCCTCTTTGAAGGAACATACGCCCCGCGCCACCATGACGTCTGGAGCTTTTTTTCTTCTGGAGCAGAGGGAGGAGATTTTGGTTGCAGCACAGCTTCATTTTTCTGTCACTGGGTTTGTTGTGCTTCAAAGGGAGGAGATGGATTAGACGGGACAGAGGAGAGGTGGAGGTGGTGGAGGAGCAGACGTCACAAGCACAGACACGAGGTACGCAGAAGCCACAGACACATGATTGGAATGGAGGCACGGACGGGACTCACAGTGCATGCAAACACGGAGGGTCGTTACACTGCAAACGAAGCACGTGAAGACCATGAAGAACTACAAATTGGATGCGTCCGACTCTCCTCTGCTCCACCTCCTCCACCCTTCGCTAAAAGCCAAAGTCAAAAACGATGCGGTCTTCAAAGATGGCGATTAGCAACATGATGCTGAACCCAGTCACCATGCCCATGTTCTGAAGGATAAAATGTCCAAAGTGGCAGCGCTTGTGCTCCTCGCTGTCACCGTGAAGCATTTCTGGCAGCTGTGGAGGACAAAGACACCCGCCGGGGTCAGAGACGGACTGAAGTTAAGCTGGTGTTGATTACACACAGTTAAAACCAGATGTTTACATATACTGCATAAAAAGAAACAAACATTTCTTTATGTCAGGAGACAAATCAGACTAAACCTCATCTGTTTTAGCTCAGTGAGGATTCCCAAAATTATTTCTATTTGTTTAACACCCAAAGAGAGAATTTGTATTACTTTCTTCAGAGCCAAGAGTTTACATGTACTTTGCCTTTAGCAAAAGCTCAAGAAGGTGAAGGGTTAAATGTGTTTTGGTGAGAAATGTGTGCATCAACTCCAAAACAAAAGCTTAATGTTAAGAGACAAGTCCTGTGGACTGATTCATCTACAACTGAACTGTTCGGCCATGATGACCATCGTTACATTTGGAAGGGGAAGGCGTGCAGGCTTGAGAACACCAGACCAAATGTAAAGTACAGGGGTGTTAGCATCATGTTGTGGGGGTGTTTTGCTGCAGGAGGGACTGGTATACCTCACAAGACAGATGACAGCATAAGAAAAGAACATTACATGTAAATAATGAAGCAAATACTTCAACCAGGAAGTTTGGATACAAATAGGCATTTCAAACAGACAATAACCCTAAACATATGACCAAATTAGTTACAAAGAGGCTTCAAGATAGCAAAGTCAATGTTTTGGAGTTGACATCACATAGCCCTGATCTGAGTCTTATGGATAAATTATGGGCAGAGCTGAAAAATCCGGTAACTGACTTAAAACAGGTCATACAGTGGATGTAAACATCTGGTTTCAGGTGTGAATACCCCTCAGGGATTATCAGTGCATTGTGCCAACTTACCATATCCACCAGAGCCACATACAGGAACATGCCAGCCGTGATGGCAAAGATCCAGTTGGTGACGTTGTGCGTGTACTGGCCCACAGCGGTACCGATCAGCATGCCAACGTAGGCCATGAGGGCAGACAGCAGGTTGTAGACGATGGCTTGCTTCACCGTCATCCCGGCTTTCAGCAGCACCGCAAAGTCACCTGTCAGCAAAACAAACATTTACTGAGACAGATGTTCAACTTTTATTCTTACACACACACCCAACACTTTATAATCAGTCAACTGTGATTTTTATACGTGAACAACAGAAACTCTGCTACAGTTTCATCTTACAGGACATCGCAGCCCAAGACATGAGCACAGCAACAACACTGATATCAAAGCAGACACACTGAATGTTCTGTTTAAGCTTTTTACTTTTGAAGAAGAAGCACCAAGAAACATGCACCACTTGTTGTCCTGCTTTGTCACCGTTTAGGAGCCGACAGAAACCTGTGGGACTCTGTTAAACCCCTCTGCTGTCAGGAGACGTCGGAGCTGAAGTGGTCTTTATAGGAGAAACGAGGTGCAGAAAAATAACAGGAGCTGCTCCGGATCCGTGAGTCAAAGTTGGAAATCTCTGACTCACCGGGAGCAGCTTGTTCACTAAAAGGCTAAGAGCAGAACAATGAGGAGTGTCTGCAGGCTTCAGTTGAGTTTCTAACAGTTTGGGGCTGCATTTCTGCAACATGACAGAGATTAATTCAGCATTTAATACCAGCAGATTTTTAATCCATCCTTCAGTCCTATGAGGGAGGAGTCTGACTGGATTGAAATTTATTCTGCAGCAGGACAGCCAGTATCTCAACATGCTGTGCCAAACTGAGAACTGTATTTGCGAAGGGGTTTCCAAAATAAAGGTCTGAAAACGTTTGTGAGTGTTCTTGGCCTCCATGTGCGAGTCGCAGGGCTGCGTCTCTGTGCCGCATGGATATGAGCATGGTAAAACTAATAAATAAACAAAATCAAAAGCTAAACGTGTATACAGCAGTCCCTCATTTATCATGGGTGTTGAGGACCACGCCCACCTGCGATAAGTGAAAAACCGTGAAATATGGATGCAGTTGAAGTTCAGTAAACTTTGTCATATGTGCCAGGCTGTAATCACACTCACTGCATGGATTGTTTATTTAAAATGTAACAGTATTTAAATTTAAATTGTGGAAAAGCAGGACAGCAAAGGCTTAACCCTTCACGCAGCAGCAAAACGGAGCAAAAATGTACTTCTTGATCATTTACACTGAAACAACTGAACATAGAAGTTCTAAAATAAATAAAAATAACTTTTAACATACGTTTTGTTATTATGATTGTTTTACAATGCGACATACTTTGAATTTTAAGTTGGAAGACAAAAGTCGATCGGTGCATCTCGACAGCAAAGGGTCAAGAAACTGATGCAGCAGGAGAAATGTGTGTGTGTGTGGAAGAGAAGGAGATCAGCTGATCAGCTGCTGGTGGGAGCTTCCCCCTGCACTTGTGGGCTGCACACATGACGCAAAATAATTTAAAATATTTTAAACCAACAATCCTTGGCTCATCTATCAATCAGCCAATTGTGTCATGTCCAATCTTACTTTGAAAAACCGCAATATAGCGAATCTGTGAACCACGAAGTAGCGAGGGACTACTGTATACCTGCATATATATACTTTAATTTTATATATAAATATATATATATATATATATATATAACTCAAGTTTGAGAAGCTGTACAGAGCTCTCCCCAAACCTGCTTTGAACTTTTGCACAGCACTGCACAGTATCCGTCCCGTGTTTGACGATGACGTGAACGCTCTCCAACAACCAGAGCTCCTCGCTCAGAAACGCATCTTTAACGCTGCCTATGATTACAGATGCTTGCTGTAGCCTCTCTGCCCTCTTCAATCATCGCCGGGCCAAATGCAGCGAGCAGTCCAAGTCTCAGCGGAAACGTCCTGGATTTGAAGAAAGAGATGAATACTGAGAAGAGGGGTGGCCTACATTTCCTGCGCCGTGTAACACGCGGCCTCCTTTCCTTGCTAATTAGCACAATGAATATATTACCGCTCTGCTCTCATCCATCAATCAGAGCTGGAGAAGAGAAGTACACACACACACACACACCTCACACCGGCTGTTTTTTTTTAAACTCCACTCTTCAACTTCATCCAGGGTTTCCTGCCTCCCTGATTTGGATCCGTCAGACACGCCTGCTGCCGCCTCATTGACTGCAATCAACACACCCATCACCGCCAATTAGCTTCACCCCGGGTGGTTAAAGAACCCCCCTCATCATCGCCATTTCCCACCCAGATGCCAGTCGGGGGACGGCTTTGTACTCGGGAGAAGCTGAGGGGCGCACTCGTCAAACCACCGAGTCCGTCTGAGGAGCGGCCCGACGGGAGCGACCGCGTGACGGCAGAATCAAACGGAAATTAAACGGAAACAAAGACTGAGCGTCCTCGAGACAAGACTTCAGCTCCACCTGGAAACTCAAGAGCCCACTGTGAAAATAGTGATGACACGAAAACATAAAAGGCCTAGAATTCCTTGAAGGAACACATTCAGTTTTAAACAATGATCTGGCCCAATCTGTTAGCACTCAGACGGTGTGTGTGAAAGACTGTCAGCTACTACCATACCAACAGTATAATGAGTTACAGCCATTTCTGTGTTTGTCAGGCCAGCTGGCTGTGGCAGCCATGTTGTAATGGGTTGAAACCAAAACTTAATCAGTGTCAGATGCACATCTTGGGATTACTTTCAGCAAGTTCCATTAAAATGTGTACAGTTGTTCATACATTTTGCTAACAGACATATCTTCAGCATATATCTTAGATATTTTAGCATACCATTGGCATTTGTTTCGCGTATATCTTCTTAGATCTTTATATACCGTTTCTTTTTATAGTTTATATTTTTGAATTTTGGGTGTACAGCAGTCCCTCATTTATCACAGGGGATCTGCACCCTGAAGCCTTGTGACAAGTGAAAAACCGCGAAATAGGAATAGTAGTACAAGTAATAAATAGTAGTTTATTTTAGTATATATAT